ACAATTGGGGCCGGTGTGTAGGAGCCATTTATAGTTGTTGGTGTTTAGGTATGGTTTGTTTCTGGGTTATTTGTTTTGGGTGGTGGTGACCTATATTCTGCTCTACCACTGGTGGCGGTGTGGAGGGGAAGGCTTTATAGGTAAGATGTGAGAGGGCAGAAAGGGTTTTGGGTGACGGGAGGTCATACGGTTTTTACCGCTTTCTTTGGCACACAATAGCCTGCTTCCTCTGGTTAAATTCTGTTATTTTCACATTCTCCATAGTTACCTGTCCATCTCACTTGTTGTAAAGACCACCACTCGGATTGTTTGGAAAGTTTGTTCATATACAAACGCACTTCAATAAATGGGAAAGCCCATACCTTATATCCTGGTTTCGACATCCTCTTTTAAGCGTGTTAAATTCTAGATTCCCCGCACCCACAAGCGACAAAAAGGTGGTTGATAGTCACTACAGGGAATATAAAAAAAGCCTAAACAACCAAAACTTTCACGACCCCCATGCAATACCTCTGTGGACCCCCTGTTGAAGACCTCCGCACTAAGACATGGTTCCCCTCCTGAAACCGGTACGTATCAAGGCCCGTCCAGAGGACTCATGGGAGAAAGTCAGGTGGTCAGTTGAGACCAAAATAGAACTTTTTGGGCATAATTCCACTAACCGTGTTTGAAGGAACAAGATTGATGAGTACCATCTCAAGAACACCATCCCTACTGTGAAGCATGGGGGTGGTGCTGGAAATATATGATTACTTTCATGGCCTTCACAGGATACTTGCATTTCATAAAATGTAAATAAAATACATTATTTGTGATTATGAGAAAAAAGTGTAAAAAGTCCAAGATTAGTCAAAGCTTTTGCAGGAAACTATGGTGTCTGATGAAACTACAGTTTGTTAGAGCTGAAGGAAAACATTTGGAGTGGGGAAAAAAACGAGGAACCTATAAAGTAACTTGCAAAGAAACAATAACTGAATCATTGTTTCTCAGTTATTCTTGAGATATTGCTTTTTTACAAGCAGCTCAGTATTTTTCTGCTTCAGTTGCTTTTCTTTGGACAAACTGTAGCCTGTTACCCCTTAACACTTTACACCAAAACTAGCAAACTGCTATCCAAATCAATATCCTTGTATCAAGGGTTTGGGTCAGAATGTTAAAAATTACACAGTTGGAGAATTAATGGGAAATAATGGTTTAAACCCACAGAGATGGTTTTGTGATAATATATTAAGACTAAGCTTTTGGAATTGTTCTGACCTTGACCCTGTTGAACATTTATGGACCTATCAAGTCTGTACAACATAGGAAACAAATGTCAATGAGCCCTGCCAAATTCTGTTAAGAACAATGATCTAATATCCAATCAGAATATCTTTAAGATGGAAACTTTTGTGGAAACATTTTAAAATAGCTTCTGTTTATCATTTTGTTAAATCTACTAAAAGTAATACATGTTTGGGCCCATTGTATCTAACCTTTCTGTTTTTTTTTTGAGGAGATGTCTGCATGAAGATCAAGGTGAAACTCTCTCCTTGGTTTAAGGTTAATTTGGTATCAACATTCTTTTGGAAGGATTACAATAGTGCTTTAGCTGAGGATTGTAGAAACTCACTTCCTGTGAGTTACTGTGGTGTTTTGACTTCCATTTGTTCATAGCTAATGCAATTATAATATGTATAATGAAACCCACATAAAATGTAAATAATTGTAATTTTACCTAAAACTGAACCTAAAGTTTTTTGCTGTACAATAACCCGCCAAAAATATGATGGAAAAAGTATAAAAATATACTTACCGTAAAAATACTAGTGTGCCCATAACCCCATGACTAGTACATTATCTAAATTTGGTTTGTTTTGTTTTTCTTACAACCAGTAAAATAAACTGACGCATTTTTATTGTGAAATGCTTTGATGGTTAGTAGTTTATTTTCAGTATTGTTCATGCTCTGACATAAAAAGCAAATGTTAAGCAGATTAAAAACAAACTCAAGAGTTGTACACAAAGTTAAGGCCATAAATGCTTATAAAATAACAAAATATGTATTTATAGATCAGTAGAAAGCTCCATGTGTGATGTCTCCACCTTTTATTACAGCTGCAAACAGTAAAGTCTAATTAACCTTGACAAAAAAAAATATGGTAATGATGCTTGACTGGCACATAAAAATATGTGCATGACAAAAGTGTAATGACTGTGGATAGATCCCAGTTAAAATGAAGATGGATTGTGGTCCAGATTCTTTGTCAGAATGAAGGTTCTAGAGAGGGATTATTCAGAATTTAGTTGAAACCCTTAAATAGTGATCACAATGTTGTTTAAGAAATAATCCTGAAAAACAAATCACTGAAAAGAAGTCCACCTCCTGGAAACTGCAGACCTTTAGCATTTGCATTTTTTTTTCAAATGTTTGCATTGTGAGGTACCTATGCTCAATAGAAAAAAAGGACACCACACCAATCACTTTGCATTACAGGTAAAACAGGTAATCTCTTAGCAGCTTGAGCTTAGGTGATGCATTTTGACCAAAGTCTTATAAAAGTAAGATGACAAAACAGATTATGCAAGCAATGCTATGCAAAGCATAAAGCAACAAATGTATTTATACACACTACACTTTGCATTTTGTATGCAATGATCAGATCACAGCTGCAGAGACAAACTAAATCTGTACTCAACCTAAAATATTGGCTCCATTATTTCAGAGAACCAAACCTGATGCCTTCCTCTAGCATGGCAAGTGTCTTGTTAAAAGTGTTCACTGTTCCCTTTTTCCCATTTTTAAATATTGAATTCTGAACCAGCTGTAAGCAGACTTCCAGAAATGATCCTAAAATGCGCTGAGGATGAGCACCTGTGAAATGTGCACGTGCCTTTCAGTTTGTAGGTCACGAGAAGTAAAAAAAAAAAAAGGCATCTTGTAAGATAAACCTCACAGCTGTTGTTTGGAATAATCTGGGAATGCATTATGCAAATGTATGCAACTTCTTCATCCAGAGATCACAGATATACTTAGAACATCAAACCATTTAACGCTAAAATATTTTTTTTTTCAATTAAATGTCTTTCTAGCAAAATCCCAATAAAGCATAACTGAATAAAAAGGGAAATGATAAAGAAGTATACAGGATTTTAACACTTAGTACTTCTACTACTCTCTCTCATCTCTTCTCTCTTCACATTAGTGCAACATCATATTGAACAACAGCTCAAGATTAGCAGAAGTACCAAGCTTGTCTTGATCTATTTTGCAATTACGTTGATGTGAAAAACTCAAATTTCATCACCTTTTTTTTTTTTAAAACTGTGATGTTCGGATTCAGAGTTTAATCAAACCTCTCTATCTGATTATGAGTACGGCAAAAAGGGAACGTCACTTTTAATGCATTAGTGTTAAAACACACATGGACTCAAACTAACATTTTACGTTAACTAAGACACATTAAGAAATATGTTGACAATCAGTCATAAATATGTGTAAAAACAAACCTTAAAATATATCTACTTTTTGTGCAGTAAAATAATTAACAGAAAACATGAGAAAGAAATCCCGCCTTTAATTTTAGGAAATCTGTCAGCGGAGGAAAGACAAATTGCCTCCTCCTATTGTTTTTTTTTGATCACCTGTCTTTGCTGGGCTATTACCAACAATGTAAGGGCAATTTAGAGAAACTGATTAACCTAACAGAGTACCCAGAGAGAAGCCATACATGTACCAGGAGACCACATACACTACAACGCAGAAAGAGCCCAGAGCTCTGGACTCCTGCTTCTACTTCTGTGCTCCCTTGTCTGCAGCTCATTCCACAGGTTTTTCCACAGCACTTCGGTCTGACGACAAGAAGGATCGATGAAAAAAGGTTGATTTGGTATCCAGTGAACTATTTCTATTGATTCTTCTTTTTTCTGAATCACTTTGGCTTGGAGGGGACTGTGCTTTTTTCAGGACTCCTAAATATAGAACGAATGCTCATCAGACAGGCTCCCTTACTGTTTTTAAATCCCTTCTCCAAATTGATCAGAGTTTTTAGCTTGTATATTCGTTTTCTAGCTTTTAGTTGAAAAACTGCTGTAACTCATTTTACTTGTAATCTAGGTTTTATGTCTTTGTCACGCCATTTCTTTTTGTGTATTCTATGTATTCTGTACAAGAGTGTAGTCCTGTCCAATAATGTGAAATATTGTTGAAATACAGCTACATTGTACAGGGGCCAGTAGTTTATTAACCTTCTCAGGGAAAAGTATTTAGAATGAACAAATACCAAACAGATGTTCAATTACATTTACGTTATTTATGATGTTGGCTCCAAGTTAAACAAACCCAGAGCATCACAGATCATCTGCTGTGCTTTAAAATGGGCATGAGGTGAATTTGAGAGTATTCATTCATTATTTCAAGTTAAACCCAACTGGTGTGTTTGTTTTTTAAGAGGTTGACTTCTATTCCAATCTGCCCAAAGCAGTTACAGTGGTAACGATGGTAACGAGTGGTGTTTAGCAACTCTGCATGTTAGCGTTTGCGATAGTTGCTCAGATGAAGCTATCTCTTGGCAAAACACCATAATTATATCCAAAGAAACCAAGAAAATCATGGATTACTAATGGATTTGTCAGCTTAAAAGTATTTGCTGGTCCTCAGGGCATTAGGTGTTTCTCAGCTTTCATAGCCTGATACACCAGACTAAATGTAAGATGAATCGTGTAATTTAGTCCTGCCCCGATGAATAAGACATCGGAAGATTGTTGATGAGAACAACCCCTTGTTTTTCCAACCATGTCTGTGCCTATTGGCCAAAGCTCTGACCAATGAGCGCAACTGACAGAAAGCTGGTGGGGGAGTGTGAACAAACAGCCTGTTGGTAAAACGGCAAATACATCCTTCTTAAAAATGAATGAGCGTAGAGCCTCTTCCTGCTCACGATTCAATGAAAACCTTAAGTCTAATCCTTCCAAAACTGATTCCAAATCTGAGTCAAACGTGAACTGTTCAATAGTTGTTGCCATCTTCCTTTTGCTTTCTCAAGCGTCACGCAGCTTTGTCGTCCCGCCCTCAAAACCCCACCCACTGTGCATCCAGAAATATCAAAACACATCTCTGTATTGTGATTGGCCCGCCAGTTCTAGGGCCTGGGGCATTGATCGAGGCTAGACCACTCGCAGGCAGAAAAGATTCTGGCGGATGGAGCTAGTTTACACACATCTGCTATCAATTGATAACATATTATCAGGCTTTGCTGCACTCCACCATCTGAATCTGGTGTGTTGAAGCTGAGAAACATCAAAAACATGCAGAGCGGAGTGCCTAGAGGACTAGGGTTGAAAAACACTGATTTAAAGGATATCATTTATGCACCTGTGAATTATTTTATAAATTGGGAAATTTTTTGGATTCAAATTAGTTGTTGGATTTTTTTCTGACATTTTCTGTGTGACATTACGCAGCTGTAATAAAACATGCATGTGATTAAAGGGATTGTACAAAACAGGGGTGTTAGCAGGGTTGGGTTGCCTGGGTCTGCCGATAATGGAAGACTGCTTAAGATTATAATATAACCTAACAGGAGATAATTAAAGCAGTGTATAAAAAAGAAAGTTATATGTATAACACAAAGCTTAAAAAGGTTTTCCATGTAGCTGCCTGGAGCAATACTTGTTTAGGTCACATAAAAATAAGAATTTTCGGTCTGTCAGAGTCAGGCCTGAAAGTGCTGAAATTATCTTTGCATGATCCCGTTAATACTTTCTCATTAACAACTTATAGAAGAAGGATCCGCTCATCAGATGAGCTTCCCTTTTTCAAATTTCTGAATTCTATTTCTGAGCTAAATGGTCCATCTTGGTAGTAAGAGTCTGTGCTCAGAGGGCTGGAAGCCGCTGTGAACCTCAGATGAGGGAGATCCGAATGGGAATAGAGGGAGAATCTGTCCTGTTGGGTGGCGAATGATGGGACACAACATGCTCAACCATAGCATGTTTCGGCATGTGCTTCATGAGGTAAGTCTCCTATAGAAAACAGCAGGACAAAACCTTTAAACATTACAGCTTCACTTAGCTTCCACAGGTAATCTCATTTCAACTCACTGAGGTGTACGCCCGGCCGCACATGCTGCAGCAGTAGGCCTTGGCGTTCTTGATAGCGTGCGCAGAGAGGTGGATCTGCAGCGAGGCCGAGTCTGAGTAGGCACGGAAACAGTTGGAGCATTTGAAGGGCTTGTCTTTGTTGTGCTGCCTCTGGTGAGACTTTGAAGAACAAAGCAAATAGATCATCGTTATGTGCTTCAGGGAAAGCTAAAGACAGATGTGTTTGTTAAGAAACCTACAGCAAAGTCATATATGATCAACTGAACATGTTTGCTTATGAGTTTGGCCAGAAGTCAGAAACCTTTAAAACCTGGAGAGGCGTTTTGTCCACTTTCAAGGTAAAGGAAACTGATCTAAAGCTGCAAAAACTGCAAGACCCTAAAGAATGTAGTTTATCTAATCCTATAAATATAAACTTGAGTGAACAAAAACACATATTCCTAGTAGCATGTCTGTGGTATAAATGTGATACAGATATTGCCTAAAAATAAACTCTTTTTTAAAACCCGGATGTTTAAAGGTACATGTTTAACCCGTCCCAGTGGGAACGTGGCATACTTGCGCTCGCCTGCTCCCATTCCACCCCTCATCTGTACTGTTAGCCAGTCAGTTGCAAGGTCAACCAAAGCTAATACAAACATTTGGTCAGCATGACCCACCTGTCTAGAAGGAAAGTAGGAAAGCAGCCACCTCTATGTAGCATCCAAACCCCTCAGCTTCCTTAACTCAGCACCAGTGCTAAAAATCTTGACTAGTTTTTACCTTCTATCGGTTTTGGCTCGAGTCTGAAAAATGTAATGCAAAGGAAGACGTTTTTCAGCTTTATTACGGAGCTACTAGGATCTGGCAACGCCTGATCTCCATCTCATGTCGTTTTTAACCTTCTAATATAGAAAGCTTTCATAACCTCAAGTAAAAGAGGTATATTTTTTAGACCAGCCAAAATTTTTAAAACAATATTTCTTTATACATATTTTTTGTAAGAAATTAATATTTTTTTCTGCTCCACTTTAGACCTTTTTTGATGTATTTTTAAAGTTTCTGCGATGGATGGTTTCTGCTTACAAAGAATTAGACAAAACATTTCAACAAAGAATAACCTGTCCCGAGGGCTTAGTCAGAATTTTGGGGATTTTTCTTCATAAATAACTGAGATGCAACCGAAATATTTTTTTTTTCACTTTGTCACTAAGCTATATACAGTATGTGGCCCCAAAGCTTTTAGCCTGATTTGTAATTTCCATCCTCAGCCTTTGTCGATACTTTATTTACATTTTACATTATAACTTAAAAGGGGATGGAAGCATCATGATCTGGGGTTAATTTTCTTTAAATGGAAAAGAGGTTTTTGCTCCAAATAGCTGTAAACACTAGTAAATTGTGGCACAAAATCTTTTGCAGCCTGCTATAAAGCATCTCCCAAAGCTAAGGTTCAACAACTTTAGATTGGCTGAATCGTTTTTTTCCTTTTTTTTATTCCCTAATGCAGTTTTTTTTACACTGATTCCCCAATTTCCACCAAAAACATGTACAAATTGGTATATTTCTATTTAAGAATGGTGCCTATTTAGTTAGGAAATGTTTAAGCAAGATTAAAAACAATAGAAAAAAACAACAACAAATGCACTGGAAAACAGTGTACTACAATATTTTTGTCTTTTTGTAGCTAAACCCATGGTGTACAAAAACATGTATCAAAACATTTCAGTAATGAATTTGTGCAGCTAACTTTTTCCAAGTAAGAATTCAAAAAGAAGAAGTCAAGTAATGGCGATCATAAGGATACTGTTATGTAAAACAAGAGCTATTTTTAGGTGAGGCTTAAAAAGCATAGGTGGAGAAAACAGCTCATGTTTACCTGCAAATTAGAGAGTTGGGTAAAGGCTTTCTCACATCCTGGATGGAGGCATTTATAGGGGCGGTCACCTGTGTGGATCCTGAAACACAAAAAGCAAGTCGGACAGGAAAGCAAAAAAGAACTGGAATAAAATACTAAGAGAAAAACCCACACAGGACAGGAAAATACAAACCCATAGAAAAAACAACAAAGAAAATTTGGCTGATGTTTTTACTCCTAAAAAAACAAACAAAATGCTGTCAAATCCATTGAAGAATTTGTTTCAAATTATTTTCTTCCCTCTCTAATGTTGAATCATGTAATATTTACAGTAATTACAGTGATTATACTTTTCACAGAAAGATTACAAGAGTTACAGGGAATGTGCTTTTAATTCAGAGGAGATTTGTATGGTGGCTGACAGGTGCTCATGGCCCAATGTGCTCCAAACATGGAAATAAGCAGATAAAACACAAAAGCACTGCTATAGGAAATGCTGCAATCACATAAAATAGAGGGATACAAAAATGCCTGAGTAGAATATATTTTTAAAATAAATCTTATGACTTATTGTTTTCACAGCTTTTTTGTTGGGATTTCCATCTCATCCCAAATTAGTTCCCATTAATAAATGTTCTTCTGGGATTGTTAAAGAAATCTTACAAGTAAAACTTCCCTAGATTTCCTGACTGAATATTCTAGACTTTTTCCCTTTTCTACAAATGAACATTCAGGTACCCCACTGTTCACCAATCTGACTTAAACTGTTAGACTTATCTAAATTGGGTGTTATTACAATTTTCCATAAAGTTTTTTCGATCTCTTAAAGATCTGGACAAACTTAGATCAGTTGAACCTAGAGGATCTGGACTATCAACAACAATCATACCTTATTTCATTAACTTTAATAAGACTTAGCTTTAGAACCACGACTAACAGGTTTCAGAGCTGGAAAAAGAAATTGACGCTTTGTAGGTTATTGAACGAGTGAGTATGATTGCAAAAATCGAAATGATTCACAGGCTGAAAGAAAACAACAATCTAATTTGTCAACCAAGAGCAGAACGCAACATATAAATAAATGTAAAATATGTTCATTTTTGGAAATTCAGATTTTTGCTTACTTTTTTATACTAGAATCATAAATAAATCTAGCAGTTAAAAAACGTTTTTTGCACAAAATGTTCATCTTTTAATACTTTCTGAGACATTTTGGGGAAAAAATGTGTTAGTATTTCCTTAAATGTTACAGTAGTTGTGTTTGATTTAAATGAAATATTAAAATTTTTATAAAACCAAAACTAAAGCTCAAAAGTTTGAAAATAAAGAGCATAAACAATTCATGAAACATAACCAGCGTTATAAAGAAACTTCAATTTATAAATACATTTCTTTCCATTTCTCCTTAAACCAGACTTTTTTTGGACTGTTTTAAATACATTTTTAATTGAACCATAAAAACCACAATCTATTCAAATGATCTTGAACTCATGGGATTTAACAGAGGCAAATTTACATTTAAGCAGTTAATCTGGCAAATAATGCATTTTATTCTAAATATTAAAGGAGCAGCCTTTTGCATTACAACCATGAACCTGATGGACGACAGGATGCATGGATGTATGGATGGATAGAGGGATGTTAAAGGAGCACTGCTCCACGTTCTGAGTTTTTGCAGACATTTCTCCCCCTGGTTAAAACTTAAAATGATTCCACTGTTGTTCACACTTAGTAGAGAGGCTTGGCAGTATCCGTTGCAGGACCAGCCGATTCTGTAACAGCTTTTTCCCCACTGCCATAAGACTGTTGCCATAAAACTCTAATCAAGTCACAAATCGAGACTCTGCATCACACTGTAAACATCATACTTGCACTACATGGTGAATCTTTAAAATAGAACTCAACTCAGTGTTTCTACTGCATTTTGCATCATGTTTACTTATTTATTTTTGCACTGCTCTGAACCTTCCACATCAATGCCTTTTGCACCATGTCTCTCCTACACTGTTTACATTTGGATCACTGCTGAACTTTATAAATAGAAACGTTAATTCCACTGGTAAGCTGTTGCTCATTCACTGTCGAAAAGCTGTATGTATCAAAATTTCGATTTGTATACAAAATGATAATTAAGTTTGTCTAAGTTTAAGATGTAATATCTAAAGATACACAAATGTGGTCAATAAAGAGAGTAAATGTCGACCCAAGAAGTCAGATACACCGTACCATAAAACATAATACATTACATAAATCTGCATTCTCTGTAAAGCAGCAGAGCAGATTATTATTGCGAGGATGAGTACAATTGGAAACATTGTGCTTTAGATCTAGTTGCTATAGATTCACTGGATCTCTGCGAGAGGACTGACCTTATGTGCTGCTGAAGGTGGGAGAGCTGACGGAAGCATCTTTCACAGTAGGAGCAGCGGTACGGCTTGAGGCCCAGATGTATGCGCAGATGCTGGGCCAGGTATGAAGCGTTTGCAAAGGTCTTGGTGCAGTGAGGACACTTGTGGGCCTTCGCCTCTGTGTGTGTTTTGGAGTGAATTTGCATGTCTGACTTGGAGAAGAAGGTCAGCGGACACACTTTACATCTGAGAAAAGAAAACAGTGGTTATATGTAAGCAGAGAAGCACACAGAACAGAAATAAGAAAATTGTTAAAGAAGATGATGCTTTTTTCATGAAGAGAAATGACTAGCTTTAGGTTAAGGAATGATTGTTTGTTTGTTTTTTTTTTTGTTTTTTTTAACCATAGAGGCATATACTAGTACTTGGAGGCATTTCAGCAATAGAGAAAACTAGTATGAAATACAGGAATAAAAGCAACACTGCATCAAATAGTAACTCTATTTCACATGGTATTAAATTATTGTTCAGCTCTGTTCTTAAAATTTTACCCACGTAACCTTAGAAGGTCTGAATGGGTCATGTGATCTGGAGCACTGCTTTATGGATATCTGAGCTCTCCTTAACCATGAGAGCTAACTAAGCTAAACATTGCTGTTAGGGTTTCCAAAAAAGTCAAAAAAAAAATAATAATAATGAAATGGGAAGCAAAACATCTTCAAACTTGGATTGTTTTTAAACCTTTTTGGAATGACTATGACCTGCATGACTGAAAATCTCCACCAGCATATTGCTGTTAGGGAATAAAACAGATATGACCCTTACCTCATTAGACATATTTTTAGTTTTCTGATGTCAATTGCAATTTTATTTAAAAAGAACTTAAAAAAACAGCTTGTTACAGCACCAAAGTGCAGTTTTGTTTTCATAAAACGATCAATGAATTAGGATTTAATATAGAGTGGCCTTATGTTTACATGTAACTCAATCACTTCTCAGTCTGCTGGTCCAAAGTGGTCTGATTCAGAGGGAGGCCATTTTATTTAGGGACAGTGCAGTGCTGGGGGCTAAAGGGGGCTAAACCTGAAAAGTTACAGGGCAATTGCCCCTGGTTGACAAAATGATACATTGTTACTTTAACCAGACAGATATAAACATGCATCTCAAATAATAGATATATAATCAAGTAAACAATTCAGAGAGTAAAACTAATGCTAATTGAATTTTTCAAAAAGCTGTTTTTTTAAATGAAGATAACCTTTCAATGTTTTCTGTTTGTTTTGATGCAGCAAAGGTAAATCACAAAAATGATCATGATGTCAAGATGAAACAGACAAAATGTAGAAAACTTAATGGTTGCTGTTTTATTCCTAAATAGCAAAAATTGCAGCTTGGTCCCTCATGCCACGCTGCATGGATGCAGTGAGGCGATCCTCAAATACTTTACATGCAAGTATATTGACCTCCTTTTGAGCAAGTTTACAATTTTATATTTTTTTTTACAACGTTTTCTAAGAAATAACCTCAGAAACAGAACTTTAAGTTTCCACAATTACCCACAATGATTGATGTTAACACAAACAAACCCATAAAACCATATCAGTATCCGTGTAATTAATTTCTATTTTTACTCACTGTGGCGGTTTGTTTCCACCGGCAAAACTGTAGATGTTTTTCCTCTATTCTTATTACAGGTTAGAATATATACTAGGAAGTAATAAAAATTTATTTTTGCAAGACAGGGGTAGATATGGGAATTGTTAAATTGATACGTCGCATAACTAGGTTACTTCTGCTGGATTTATTTTTGGTTTTAAATCCTTCTCTGGTATGATTTATTGTTTTTTTTTTTTTTATGTCTTTTCTCCACTTACCTGTCACTACTTGTGTTTTTACTAGTTGTCTTTATTTTTCATCAGTTCTTAAGGAGTGGAAAAAATGTGGTGGCCTAGTGTTTAAATGCAGAGGTACATTTCTCCAATGTAGGATCAATAAAGTTCAATTATTATTACAGTATTATTATATCATGACCTGATGATTAATTACGGCTGCAGATTTTTTTTTGCTCATGATCTACAAAGTTTTCTGATGGTAAATTAAACGGCTAAGTAAAGCTTAATGACATCTTAAATCTTTTATTATCTTTATTTGTTTCTTGCTTTGTGTATCTGTGTGGTTTGAGGTACAGCAGATTAAACTTCACTCTGACCTCATCATTATTCAAAAATCCAATGAATCTGAGGTGCACTGTTAGCAAACCGTTTTTTTAATCTCACCTGTATGTTTTCCCCTCTTTTGCAGTAATGGTGACGCAGGACTGATCGTTGCCAGAGGCGAGGATCGGGTACGGTACCACCAAAAGTGATGACCCGTTCTCTGCCTTGATCTTCTTGCGCCCTCGTTCCTGCTTTGGAGGAGGGCCGAGGAGTCCAACAAAGCCTCCGTTTGTTTTCCCGTGCTCCATGCCGTGGCTTCCAGCTAACCCTGAGATGAGTTGAGGGGTAGGGGCTCCACCAAGCCGACTGTGGCTGCTTGAAGTGGGAGTTGTGGGGGTTATGATCTCTGAAGTGCTGAGGTTCCCAGTTCTGGATGCCAGTGCCACACCTGACAGGCCCAACAATGAAGATAAGAGGATGTTTAAATAATATAATTATTAAGCGTTATGCTGAAACATTTTCCTGCTTTTTAAGCTCATCTGTCCTTGCTTCAGACAGTTAGTAAAAAGCACAGCTGAAAGAGAACTTCAGAAAGTCAGAATAACTGTTGATAAAATTAAATATAACATTTTACAATAAACTGGCGTCTGTGAAATAAAGTATAAAGAAATAGGATTTTAATGATATTCCCTGAACTTTCAAATTGTACATTCCACATTAACTCTTTGCAGTTGTAGCGACCAATAGAATTTACTCCAAAAATCAAAGGTAGCAACACTAAGTTTGGCTAAGAACAGGGACTCCAATTTATTAGAGAAATTAGGTAATACCTACTAAGACTTAACAGTTTTAACAGAAAAATTACACAGGCTGGGATCGAACCCACGATCGCCCTGTTGGAAGGCAGCTGAGTTAAAAACTACAGCACCAACCAAGCTGCTTTTCTGATTTCTATGAAAGCCACTCATAATGCTTATGCAGCAGTGTTGCACAATTTGTCAAAACCAAAATCACTAACTGATTTGACACAATAAATAAGAAACACATAATTATGATGGTTAGATTTACAATTAGATTTAAGGAGCTAATTTTAGGAAATAATTTTAGACATTGAACTTTTTTCTTAATGCAAGCTTCTCTTGTTCTTAATGGTTCAGCAGAGCAGTTACTTCCTGGCACACTGCGATGACCAAAGTCATTATATAAATGTTTTAAGATCATTTTTATGCTGTATTTGCAACTATTAAAAAACTGAAGGATTTACCCATAATCATCTAGTGCATTTGATAGTGTGAAGTTAAAATTGTGTGTTCAACTTATATCTTTCTTTTTTAAGCAAGCAGTGTATTTGTTGAAGGTCACAAGGATGTAAGATGACCTTGCAGAAACTTTGCAGTTTCTTAACAGGATAAGCATCTGTGCATAAGCTGGGAATGTTCAGTTTGAAATAGGCGTTGTTTAAACAGTAACAGGTTTTCCCATTTTCTTATTTAAAAAATACTTGAATCAAATTTTATTTGTTTTTGTAATTTTTCAGACTACATAGGGACCCTGTGAGATTTTAACAATTCAGTCCAATTCACCTAAACAGGAGTGGCTTAAACTGATTATAATTTATTATGGGTAAGTATGAATGCCTCCAACAGAACAGTTTACAGAAAACAGAACAGAACAGAAAAGTTTACTCGAGATTAGGTGTCATTGGGAAAATATAGATGCTGTTAATAAAAACAAGTTAAGAGGAACACGTATAGAGAAATGAAGGGCAGTTCTCTGATAAGAAAGAGAACCACACACATACTGTAAATCCATAGAGGAAGAATATAAGCCTTGTATAAACAAAAAGAAAATCCTAGGATTAAAAGACTAATGTCTCCACAGGAGCTTAATAAACTAATCAATGTGTTCATATTTTATAACAATTGACTTCAACAGTGTTTTCACAGGTCTGCCTAATAAAATTAATTGGACAGCTGCAGTTGATCCAGAATGCTGCTGTCCTCGTCCTTACTTAAACTAAGGAAGTAGAGCACATCACCCCCGTCCTTATATTGGCTCCGCCTATCTCTGAGCTTTAAAATAATGACCTCATCGCTTATCACCACAGCACCTGCTATCAGTATCAGCCTTCAGACGTCTCTTCTTCTGGCTCTAATCTACTCTTTATACACAAAACCAGAACCAAACAGAGAAGCAACATTTAGTTCATATGCTCCACTAATCTGGAATAAATTCCCGGAAACTTGTAAAAGCACTAAACTATAAATTATTTAAAAACTGGACTAAAAACGTATTTGTTTTTAAAGAGGCCTTTGACCGTGCTATCTAAAAAATATTAGTTAAGCTTTGCAATCCAACTTTCCTTTGAGTATCTTATCATTTTATTATCAATCATTTTATCATTACTTTGTTTTGTTTATCATCTATCAATTTAATTATTAAATGTATTCTTTATAATTATTTGTTTTCAATTATTATTTAACTGCATTTATGCATCTGCAATGTACTTTTCCTATGATGTTTTTTCTCTTTTTCATGTACAAATGTTTGATAAAGAGACCTGGCATGCCTTAAAGTGTGGGAGAGGATCCAACCTTTTGAATTGAGAAAGCTTCCTGAATGGTAAGCAAAAGGTCTTCAAACTTGGAAACAAAGTCCAGTGGATTGTTTTTATTTTTATTTTTTTGGAATGGCTATGACCTGGATGACTGAGAATCTTCACCACCTCTGTTTGTCTGGTAGGACATAGTGAAGTGTTTGCTTACCTGAGACATGGTTCGTTCTAGAGGGATGGTCTATGAGCTGACGCAGATGCCAGTCCTCCCACAGCCCACGGGCTTTCAGAGCTGCTTTGTCATCCAGATTCAAGTTCACGTCTCCAAGAATACGACCTAGTAAAAAACAAAATGCACCTCTAAATATCTTTACCTAAACATGTGTGTGTGTTGTTTTAAATTACTTTGAAAATTGAACTCAGGCTTGTGGAGGCAGCTGGAGTACCTGTGACAGAGCTGGAGGCAGGGCGGGCATGCAGGGCAATATCAGGCTGAGAGGGGCTTGGACTGTGCAGCCCTGACCCCTGCTGAGGTTTGGACATGCCGTGCTGGCTGCCTTCGGCCGGGCCGGAGGGAGACAGAAGAGGCTGTTGGGAGGCGGCCGAAGAAGTGGGCAGATGTGGTGGCCGGATCTTCTCCGCCATCAGCTGCTCCTTGATTTTATTGATCAAGACTAGGTTATCCAGCTGACAGCCAGAAACCAACATTAGTGACAAGAGAACAACCAGCATCAGTTCAATCAGTGACACTTTACAGGGCAATGGTACCCTCTACTGGTCAGTACATGACACTGCAGCAAAGCTTAGAGACATTTAAGGAATGCCATTTAGGATGACATCCTAACACTGTCAAATATTTTGAAAGTAGAATTTGTCCAAAAAAGATAACATATTTACACTTCTTACAAGACAGAGGTCCTAAAGTGCCTTTTATTCTACTTTTCCAAGAGGGTCTTTTAATCATCATCTATTGATGATCTCTAAAGACTTCAGAAATAATAAATAATAAGTTTAGAAATAATGACAGTTTCTGAAATACATTTTTATATTAATATTCAACTTTTCTAACCATATGTTGTTGGGATAAGCGTGATGGAAAATGCATGAAAGAATATGTTGTTTCTGTAAGAAAAACCTTTATCTGTTTATTGATTGTGGCAAATTTAATCCAGTAAATCCATAAGTCATATAATCATGGTCGTGCACATCCTATGTCTTCAGATAAAATTAAGTGCTAACACACTCTTCAACAAGAATAAGTATGTTGTGCTGATCGACCAAAGAGGTCATAATTTGAGCTTTTAAATGTAAAAAACAAACAAAAAAAGAAAGACAAACAAAGCAACTGATTTGGGAAACTATTGAAATCTCTATTGAGACTCAAAAAAACAACAAAGGAAATAAAAACATTTGAACATAAAAGGTTAAAATCGTAGCATTAATCTGTTTTTCCTCTCAGGTATTTACACTTTAAACAGTTTAAATGTTTTTCTGCCAAAGTGTTGCTGGTAAGGCTGTCATTAAGGACTACTAGTAGTATTTACAGACTCTAAATGGCAATAGGACACCATAGGAAAGCATTTGCGACCCCTTGTGGTTAAGTTAGGCATTTACCTTTCTTGCAGCACTTACAGTAATTCCTGATGACCTGGTAAAGCTCTCAGTTTAAACTCTCAGTGGCAACTAAACTTTCTCTGCTCCTGAAGGTAGTGCATGCAGCCCTATATTATTTATGATAATGATTAATCATATATTTGATGAAGCAGATCCAGGAATTGAAAAATCTTTATATGCAGATGATGGAGCCTTTTGGATTTGAGGTCGTAACCTAGAATTATGTCTGAATAAAATGCAGAATGCAATTAATAAAGTTGAAACATGGTCCAACAAAGTTTTAAGTTATCAATAACAAAGTCCCACATTATCTGTTTTTCAATAAGACCAAAACATACTATATCTTTAAAAATGTATGGTCAAAATCTTGAACATGTTAAAGTTATTCGATCTGTGTTTAATGAAAAATGTATTGAAAAAATGTAAAAATATAAATATTTTACTTTGTTTAGCAGGAAGGGAATTGGGAACAAATAGAAGGTCATTGTTGAATATTTTACAATCTCTTATGCGTTCAACTCTAGATTATGGTAGCATTAGTTATATAGCAGCAGCAGATATCAATCTGAAGCTTCTTGATATTGAACAATTAAAAGCCCTTCGATAAAGTGGTGAAGCGTTTAAAACATCACCAATTAGTTCATTACAAGTTGAAACTGGAGAAATGCCTCTACGAATTAGTAGATTAAAATAAATGTTAATTTAGTGTGTTAATATTAAAGGTCATGAGCAGTCACATCTGGTCAAAACCATCTTACAGGAGTGTTGGGAACACAGCAAAGTAAATATATTTAGTTTTGGATGGATTTCTAATGCAAAAGCTCAAAATGCAGAGCTGTATAAAATAGAAAAGTCTAACTGTACATTACTCAGATATTCCATACTGAATATTTATTAATCAATGTGTAGAGTTTTGCATAAATTAATAAAGACTAAAGAAAAAGGAGTTCCACAATGTGTCATTGTACAGCAATATATATATATATTCAAATGTTTTTCAGATAAAGTTTACAGATGGATCAAAAGAACCAGAATCAGGCCGTATTGGGGCAGCAGTGTATATTCCTCATCTAGACAAAGGAATGAAGAAAAGTACTACAGACGACTTATCAGTTAATGCAGTCAAATTAATAGCAATATTAATAAGTTTAAACTGGATTGAAAAACAAAATGGTCAAAATTATGTGGTTGCATTAGATAGTATTGCAGCTCTATTAAGTAAAGAAACCAATAATAATAAAAAAAATCTTATCATTTGTATTTATTATTATATATACAGTTTGCAAACGGAAAAATACTATAGCATTAACAGACATATACATATAATTCAGTCTTGATGTAAAAGCTTGAAATTTGTAAGTACCATAACAATGTAATGTATACATGTATGTTACATGTACATCATCAATTTAGCACTTTAGACAGATTGGGTGTGTGCGTAGGCATGCATTTATTACATGGTGGGGTCCATTTTCCATAAATCTTTGTACATCGTGGAGACCGAGTGCTCTAATGGGGACCAATGTCTGGTCCCCATGGGTACAAATGCTTCTTTTAGGCTTAGGTTAAGGACTAAGGTGTGAACTGAGTTTAGGTTAAGATTAAGGTTAGGTATGAACAGTAATGGTTAGGGTAAGGGTCAAAGTTAGGCTGCAGAAATGGGTTAGAAATGAATGGAAGTCAATTGAAAGTCCCCATGAGGATAGAGAACAATATGTTTGTGTTTGTCTCTATGTGTGTATTCTTAATATCTAAGTACAGTATTATAGTGCTCCATTAAAACACTAATGTTGTTGTGATGAATTTGTATAATTATATTACATGATCTATAGACTTCTTACTGAATATGCCATGTGATGTGCCAATCTTTTACTATAAAATACAGTAATCTAGTGATGCTATGAAACAGCAAGTGTGCGTCAAAATGATGAATTTATATTTATTTTAAAAGTCTTAAGCCCCCTGAAAATGAGAAAATCATCGTTGTTCGATGCTGTAGCGCACGTATCTTTTACATTTTGACAGGTTTAACTAGAGAGTACCAAAATGGCGGCTGGTGACATCACAGCAACATGTACTACCAAAGGTCAATCCAGTGAATACAGTATTATATTATATTATATCAGTGA